TATATATGAGATACCTCATATCTGCCTTTGACATGCTGAAGAATGAAAAGAGATCTTTGGCAGCAGAACTTCACCTCTGACTCCTGACAGAGCAGAAATTCTGTTTATGCTTGATACTCATTACATTGCATTTGTTGTTCTTATTTGGTTTTCTTTTAGGAGGATTCTCTACTAAAATGCATACCACCTTGAAGAATATTGTTCTTGGGAAGAGATGGTATATTTACCATCTTGTTTGATTGTTATAACCTTTTTGCCCAGTAGTGACTGCAAGGTGGGATACATAAAAGTTTCCACTATGAGGAGCTGGTGAGAATCAGGCTGGGGCAACAGTACCAAATAACTTGGAAGTTCTGCAAGTTGCACAGCACTGCATTTACCAAACCTCTGCTGCAACCTGCGGTCTCTGCTCTTCTGTGTCTCATTTGTGTGCATGTTTTTATTTCCCACATGGAATTGTCTCTTTATTTTCAGAGTCACGTGCCTGCTCAGCTGCTCTCTGGAATTAGTGGTTGGGGCACTCTGAGGGAAAAGAGTGCTGCTGAGAGTTGGGGGTGCCTTGCTTGCCTTCATTCATGATTTATTGAAATAAAACCCTGTTTGTGGTGTGAGGGTACCTCCCCCTCATGCTATCAGATGAAAGAATTCTTTCTTGAATCCTATGGAGGTGGGGTACTGGAGCCCTTTACCTCTGGATGAGACGAAGGGCCAGCTTTCAGAAGTCACAGGGATGGTTCTGGTAGGTATGGTGGCCACTGCTGCTGCTGTCACCCCAGGGGCTGGTGGGGAGGTCAGTGCTACAATGTTTGCACACAAGCTCCTGTACCTGTTGGAGAGACCAGCCTGCAAAGCCCTAATTGCACATTATAAGGATATTGATGCTGTTCATTTTCAAATTTGATTAGGCAGAAACAAAGTGCTGGGTGGGGTTGTATTTAGAGTATCAATGTTGTGGGGGCATAAATAGTCCTTTCTAAGCTGCTCTTAATGGAGCTTCTCTCTATCATTTCCCTCCGCTACCTGCATAGACTCTAAAATGTACAAAATGCAACTTTCAAGTGCATTAAGGTAGCTTTGATATCTATTAAGAACCAAATAAAACATCTGGGTGTAACATGTATGAGTCAATGTTTTTAGAGCAAAGATTTTGGTTGTTCTGAATTATCCGTCAATATCTGTCAGGTTAGGAAGGCCAAAAAATGCAATCAAAGCAACCTTCATTTTACTGAAGGAACCTGCTAAGAATAGTTCCTTTGTAGTTATCTTAACCACACACCAGGGGTGCTTTTCTGTTCTTTCTTACTTTTTCAAAGGGCTGAAAATCACAGGGGCACACATCTTTTTAAAGGTTTTTCTTTTCTTTTTTCCTGCACCCTTTTAAATTTTCCTGATAATCAGCAGGGTATGCAATATCCCCAAGCTAACTTTGTACCTAGGAGCTTTCTTAAGTCACCCACCCACACTGTGTTTGTGCTGTCAGCAAATATGTTTGGTGTCAGAGGGCTGGGCTAGATTTTGGATATCAATAGTTTGAAACCATGAAAAAAAGGAGTAAGGGGTCTAAAGGTGGGGGGAAAGAGAGAATGACATGATCTCTTAGTGAAGTTGAACCAATACTCTTGTAGTTGATCACTGGCTTGGGATGCTTCAAGCACTGTGTTGTTTGGTATCACATTTTAAAGAGATGACTTGTTTGGCTTTTGTTTAATTCTGATTAAACCTCGTTGATGATTTAAAGAGCACCAGTGAGAGAAGAAAGTGCAGAGATCTCCTTGCTGCTGGATATCAACAGTTGATGACTTTCTGTTTCTTATGGTACCTGTGGTGCAAAGGGGTGCTTAAGTGGGTACCATGCAGCTTTCCCTTTCAGATTGCAATTAAGTCCAGAGCTCTCACCCAGAGCTGTTGTGGAGTGAGGACTAATTATCCTGTGATGAGGTGCCCACCTGCAGAGCCATTCTAGATGCCATTGCAATATAAGGGTTGCAAGAATAAGTACCTGAAAGCAATCAGCTTCCAGGTGTCTTTGTCCTTGTAGGGGTCTCTGAGGGGGCCCCTGATGCTACAGAGGTTTTTGTGGCTTGAGAATGCAGATAATAAAGCATTTGTGTATTCTGATACACTGTATCCTTCTATAATAAAGGGAGTTATGTTTCCATAATACTAAAGAACTCCACAAATCCAGGAATAACCAGAAAAGGTAGCAAAATCTTCAACTTTTAGAGGCAGAGAGCAACAAATGATGCTGTAACTTGCCTCTTAATACAACTCATTCTCAATTTTTCCTGTTGGCTGTATTGAATGTCTAGTGTTAAGCTCAGCTGTAGTGATTTGGTTTGCTCCTATCCCATGTATCTCTATTTCAAATATCAGAAAGTACTCAGGAAGGAGAATGCATCACACTTGTGGGTATGGTGCAGGTACAGAGCAGGACCACAAAATGGCTGTAGTACCTCTTTTCTGAGGTCTGACAGAATTGAGTTTGTTCAGCCTGGAAAAGAGTCCAGGGAAACTTAATTGTGGCTTTCTTGTACTTGAAGGAGTCTTCCAAGAGAACTGGAGAACGACTTTTACAAGGGTGTGTTGTAGTGATAGGACAAGGGGGAATGATTTTAAACTGAAAGTAGGTAAGTTTAGATTACATATAAGGAAGAAATTATTTATAATAAGAGTGGTGAAATGCTGGCATAGGTTGCCCAGAATGGTGGTGGATGGCCCACGCTGGAAGCATTCAAGACCAGGCTGAACTGTGCTCTGAGTAATCTGATCTCGTTGAAGACGTCACTGCACATTTCAAGAGGGCTGGTTAGGTAACTGTCAAAGGGTGATCCAAACTATTCTATGACTGTATTTGCAAGAATATCTTAAGAAGAAATATTCAGTCTAAGTGTTTGCACTTTTATAGTCATGTCTCTTTATATGAACACAAAACTTCTTTGCTACTGCTGATAAAATATACTTTTCTTTTTTAAGACAAAAATAACCTAGATTTAAATGCTTGTTAGCACAAGAAAATTAATCATTGAAACTTTTTGGTTTTATTACTGTCACGTTTCAACATATGTCTTGCATATTTTAAAAAATATAGAAAGAAAAATATAAAAATAAGCAGAAAGAAAATTGGAAGTCACTGGCAGCACATTTCACCTCTCCTTCCTCCTTCAAGATACATTCTGGATTGAGTTGTAATTGTGTTTTTCCTTTATTTAATGTTTATGCAGAAAATGTTTGGTCTTTGGCAGTACAGTTTGAAATCTGAAGAGATAAGGGTAGGAAGGTGTAGGCACACTGTGTAATCCCAGCAGTATAAATGATAATCTACCTTCCCACCTTTACTCATAAAAGCTGCTGGAGCTCACTGTAGCTGCCAAGTTTGCATCTTAGAAGGAAGGGACTCCAAGACCCACAGGGAATTACTCAGCAACAGCTTCAGCTACTCCCAAGTCCTGCAGGCTGGATGGACCTTTATCTAAAGGAGGTAAGCAGGACAAGGAAAGGATCCTTTCCCCTCTAAAGGAGAACATCAGCCCGTAACCTGGGGAGAGGGTAAATAAATATACTCCTTGCTATCTGCATCTGCCTTCCCACCAACCCCCACTCCCCTTTCCTCTCTCATAGACACAGGTGTTCTCAATCCAGAGGAAACTGAAAGCCCAAAATTGGGTCCTTCGTATTTTGTCTTCAGGAACTTCTATGCCATGGTATTACTGAAATAGGGAGATGCCTCATTGTCTAATATTCTGTTCTCCAGCAGCTTCATCTAGATGAAGAATAACTACAATCTTGGAGATTAGCCACTGTGCTGTCAGGGAGAACTAGGCTGGAGAAGTTTGGGGGATCAGAAATGCTTATTAAAAAGTAGATTTATACTGTCTTTGTAAGATGATAAAAATAAGTTGATGCTTTCTTATCATGTATCAGCCATAGCAAATCATTATATAAAAAGATCCAAGAACTTTAAATAGAGAAGTAGACCATTTTTCCCTGATTTGTATTGTTTCTGTTAGTTTACGAACTAGTCTGTAAATTCCCAAGCAGAGACTGCAAGACTTGAAGCTCTAGGAGATGCCTGCAGCAGTGAGCTACTATTGTTCATCTGCCACAGTGGCTTCCCTAGAAAAGGGCAATTGGGTATCTGAGTGGCCACACAAAAGAACAGGGCATCACTAATTTTCAGTTACCTCAGGTCCAAGGAAAAGTAAACAAAGCTGGGGGAAATGAATTCGACAGCTGTCCTGAAAATCAGCTCTGCCTGGTTGCAGGAGCAGGAGGCCATAGTCCATAGGACTCATTTGCTAAGGCCAGGTGTACACACTCTCCTGCCAGCTGAGGGGAGGGGGGGAGTTTTGGAGTGTTTGGGGAGTTTGGGCTCAGTTGTAAAGGAGGCAACTCTCATGTCTTAGAAGGGGTCATAAACCATCAAAGACCCTCGGACTCATTCCTGAGGTCTTCCACCAGAGGTCTGCTCTCTGCCAGGGAGAAGGTGCTTGGGCATTCCTGCGTATGCCTGAACATATAATAATCCATTAAACTCCATGTTTCCTGGGGCCCTCACTGGGAGCAGAGTGAAGAGGAGCAACAGAATGCCACTGGATCCATGGGGGTGATGGCTATCTTCCTACTTAATCTGTTTCTCTTCTAACCCGCTCCTCTCTTCTATTTCTCTGTCTCTCTCCACCTGACATTTACTGTTAAATAAAATCTGTACTATTGACTTTGGCACATGGTCTCACCTGCCTTTTGGTTCATGCAGAAGAATCTAATAAGTGTAATCAGATTTTAATATTATGTCAATTCACCCAAACAGAAAGGAATTTTTTTAAAAGCAACACTGCATGAATTCTCCTGGTCTTGCCTTTTGTACTGGCAATTTTTCCTTTGCCTGGCAGCCTGTACAGGCAGAAGCAGCTCTGCTTTAGGGCCCTGCCCATCCCACTGTGATGACCTTCTGCAGATAAGGTCAGTTAGATTGGCTACACAATTGCTGTACAAGTCAGTAGTTCTAGGCTGGGAACAAACATTTTATTCACTCACTGTCAAAGGCATTCAATGATGAAGTGATTTGACATCATCAATTCAGAAACTTCCATGAACTTCTTAACCAGTTACAGACTTGATCTCAGCACACTCTTCCCTGTAAAGAGAAAAATTCAGATATCTTATTCTAGTAGATACTGGAGTGAGTTTTTTTTATAATTTAATCCCTGCAGTTCTAATTTTATGATGGAGCTGCACCTGAGAAAAGGCAAGTGCCCAGTGAGCAAAGCATATCCTTGAAAGAAAACCCTCCTGTCATCTCCTCTGCCTGCCCCCAGCCCCAAATTTACTTCTGAATATTGCCAAGACCACAGAAGTTTGACCTCAAGTTTCTTTTCCCTCAGACATAAGATATCCATAAACACTCTAGTTAAACTTCAACACCTCTGCATTTTAGGTAGAAATTATTTCTCAAAAAAAAAAAAAAAAAGTATGAGGTTTATGATTCATCCATTTGCAAACACAGCTCTACCTAGAAAAAAAAAAAAAAGGGCTAAATGGATATTTTATAAACCATGCACATATTCTAGAGGAGTTCTGAAAACCCAGAAATATTACAAAAAGACCACAAGACTAAATGAAAGTAGGAAAAATATTTGAGGGGAGAGGACAGGATGAGGTAGGGGAGACAGAAAAGGATCTTTCTATAGCTTGTGCTACGGAGAAGGGCAGAAACAAATGTAACAACTGTAGGTCAGAGAAACTGGAGGTGACTGCGGAGGGTTGTACTGAATAACATTACGCAACATTGTTCTGGGCAATAAATGGTGACTCTACAGATGTCTCAAATTTTGGAAATTACTCTTCTATGAATAGTCTTCTGAAGTTGGCCTTCTCTACAGCCAGAAAAACCATCTTTGCTGTTGTTGTTTTACGGCTTTGGGAGGGAAAAAACAGAAGCTGTTCTGCATGTTGTGTTTCATTTGATTCCTGAGAATTCAGTAGTTTGGTGGAGTCATTTTGGCTATGACTTTAGGGAAGTGGTCAGTTCCCTAAACTTTTATTGACTTGCCAGTTATTTTCTTGTTTTCTGGGAGGGCTGCATTTGGAGTAAAAATGCAAGGAGGGCTGGAGCAAAAGCAGGATACATTAGGAAGGTTTGCAAAATGATTAAGACCAAAGTAGTGGCATCACAGTAATATAAAGAAATCGAGATATATAGGATAATTCAGTTTGGCTATGCATGAGTTGTTATGAGACATATATATGTCAGTCTCAAAAACTTAGATACTTAAAAAGTCAGATTTTATTAAATCATATTCAAAATTTCAAGAAGGCATAAATATTTTTGCCTTAATAACATCCTTGAGGTTGCAAAGGCAAGAGGGCATTGTATTTTAATAACTTTTTATTCATCATTACTTTTATGCCTCATCTCTTCTGCCAGGAAAGTGCTGTTGAAATATGAGGCATTCCCTATGCAAGTTTGTTCATTTGTGCTTTTCAACATGATTCCTTTGCACCAAAATCATATTTCCAATATACCTCTTCCATTCTGTTGGGATTTTTCTAATAAGAACTCTGCCCCAAGCTGTGTTGTCTGCTTGTGTGCAACAACTGCAATCCCCAAAGGAATGCAAGGACATGACTCTTGAAGACTGATATCATTTAAAGGTGTGTACAAAATACTATGGCTGCTGTGGACAAGGTGGTGAAAACTTATGCTAATCTGACTTGCTGCTCTTTGATGCTAAGGACACCTTGAATATTTTCATCAGGCAACTGAACTTTTTTTTTTTTGACACATGAATTTGGGCTAGCTTTCAGACATTGTTTCTAGAGGGAAAAGGGAGGAGGTTCCTCAGCTAAATGCAATATTTTTTATTTTTCCTCATTAGGTTTTGCCATGTAGGATCTTTTGATGAAGTCCTTAACAAAATCAGACCAAAAGCATTTAAGGAAGGCAAAAATTACAATATTATCAAATGCTTTACCAGGAAACCATTTGTCTGATAAAATTTTCTTTATCTGACTGATAAAGAAAAAAAAAAAAAAAAAATCATTATACAGGAGGAGTGATTTCAGTATTTGGTAAATTAAATATATATATATATAAAAATAAATATATATATATAAATAAAAAAAAAAAAAAAAAAAAAAAAAGGGGGTTGTAAATCAAAATGAGAAAGGAAAATGCAAATTATTTAAAAAATTGTTTAACCCAGTTCTAAGATGAGCTCCTTTTAGGAGTTGCTTGTTTTGTTTTTTCTACTTATGCAGGGTTGCAAAAATTTTCCATGGATACTCATTACAGAATACTTCCCACTGTGCTGTGTAGTGCCTAATGACTATTAGTCATTATGGTGCTAATAGTACTGATTTGCTTTTAATGGGTGTTTATTCTGTGAAAGATGCTGTGGGTAAGGGGATGAAGAAGACTTAACACAATGGCACAGGACTGGGGCTAGTCCAGGCTGCTGTGTGGGAGTCATCTTGGATGAGAACAAATATGTGACAATTGCACCTCTGAACTGTGCTGCTTCTGAGGTAGTGATGGGGAAATAATTTATTTTAAAAATCCAACAAACCAACAAGGCAAATCAACTAACCCAAAGTGTCAGCTTGAAACTCAGGCAACAGTCTAGCAGTGGAGTCTGAAGCCTGAGATGCTGTGGCATTCCTGCTTAGGCTGTCTTCTCCCTCAAAGAGGATTAGAACAACCTGGACAAGCTCCGCACCAATCAACCTATTGGTGGCTTTTTTTCCACCAGGTGTAAGAGCAAGGTTTGGTGACATGCAGTGCAAAGTCTGCAGATGTTATCTGGAAAAAGCTCAAGAATTTTTGTTTTAAATTATTAATCCAAATGCAGGTTTTCTGGATGAATAAACAGGTGACTGTGGATATCCCTTGAGCTGGCAGCAATGTACTTCGAAGAGAAAACTCCAACAAGAGGCTGTGAGCAATAAACTAGTAATTTGCAGGGAAGTCTGGGTTTGGATTGCAACCTCACATCCTACCAGGGATAACAAGAGTATGGTGCTAAAATAACACAGATGCTCCTGGAAATGCTGAGGAGTCAGACTCCGGTCTATACTTAGCACTATGAAATTGCAGTAGAGCACCCACAGACTAAAATCCATCACATGTAGACCTTCTATTTCATTGAAAACTGAGATTTTGCCTATTGCAATGTCAGGCTTGTAGGGACAGAGAGAGATGAATGAAGCTAAACAAAAAACTAAGTCATTATGATTTAAAGTCTGTGAAATGCCACTATTTACTGAAAATGACACATTGTGTATCTGGGTTGGAAAGAAGAGGTCAACAACAGCATTGGTATCAAATGAGCCTTCTGAGGTTGTGACCACAGATGGATGTGTACTGTGACCACCTTCTCCAGCTTCCAGAGGGTCTGGGAAAGATGCTGAATTAGCTTTTTCCTTGAGGAGCTCTGTTTCTAAAGCAGAACCATTATGGGTCCAGATATGTGACCTCCCGAGTGTTATGCTCCCAGAAGAAAATGTTGATCTCACTATGGTGATATTTTTCTCCTGCTGATTGAAAAAAAAGAGGAAAAAATAAGAAGAAAAAGAAAAAAAGCTTCTTTTCCTGATAGAGTAGTGTATGAAAATAACACTTGTCTTCAAAATGCTGTATCATAAAGAAATCATGGACTGGGGAAGAATTTTTTGTTTACAAGGTACTTATAAATCAAGCAAGGAGTCCAAACTGGTATCACCTGTGGAAAGTGTTGACTACAGCTCCTCCCAGAAGTCCCCACAAACAATCCATGGTTACTGAGTTCAGCTGGTATAGCCACATGTCCAAAGGTTGCTTATATAAGTCTGAGTTTCAGGCTACAGTCTCATGGGTATAGTAACAAACCTGTCATCACCGGAAATTGGAATATCATGTATTAATGCTTTGGATTTGTATTGTGTACTCCAAGCAAAGATTTGTTTAGTTATGTTTGGAATACTCCAGCTTTGGTGAAGTGAACCTTAATTTGAAAAAGTTTGTGCCTAAGAATGTCAGGCAGCTGTAAATCTGTACTGTAGTGCCTGTACAGGAGCACCAGACAGCTGCTTTTCTCCTGATGTTTAGAAGAAAAATCTGCAGTAGTCTGGAGTTCAACTGTCTCAAAAACTCTAGAAATCTGTCCATAATACCTGCTGGTTTTCTGCAGAACTTGCATAGTGTCTTTGAAAAAATGCCAGTGATTTGTAAAATAATATGTACTGGTAACTGTATCCTCAACATAACTGTTTTATAAAAGAATAAGAACACAAATATATAAATAATTATATTAAAGTAAGTTTTAAATAATCAAACCAGGCATCAAAATGCCTTTTCGGTGTGTGAATCCTGGCAGAGGGGACACAGCACAGCAATGCTTGTCTTCTTCCCTGGTGGCAGAGCCAATTATACTTTGTCTCATTGTTTTGCACTGGAAGCTCCTGCTCAGTAGATTTTTTACCTAGGATTCATACCAAGGGTCAGTCTCTTTCAGCATCACAGCTTTCAGGCTACATTTTCTGTCATATACCTGTGGCTTCATTTTTTTTACACTTGATCTTCTGGTTCTGAAATTTTTTATTCCTTCTCCAAGGCTGTTGTATCCTTGGATTTTATTGATTCAATGTCAATAGGTGATATCTTTTGTTAATTTTAAGGATTTTAATTTCATTGCATTTTGTTGAATTCCTTTCACTTTCATAGTATGAGTGCTTGCAATTCTAGGTTGCAAACTTGACAAAAACATCCATGACCATGATAATCAACTCAACAAATTCAGGAGAAAGGTTCAGACACATTCCTGATGGCCAAGTTGAAAACATCATCTCTTGGAAATCTCACATTAAACTCACCATTGAATCAGCAGGCAAGAATCTCATCCCTCAACCTGTGTACACTTTATATGCACACATTTATTTATAAACTCCACATTTAAACAGAATTTTCTTTGCTTTAACTCACTAGTCATCTTGTGTGTTTGTAGGTGCCTGGGCGTGGGGATGGGAGTGTTATATATGCAGGAACAAAATGTATTGCATCAGTTCAAAGTAAAAAAAGCTCATCAAAATGCTTAAAAGTTTTAGGGATGGTAATTTTTTTCCACCAAAAAACATCCTCCTCAAAAGAACAGCTACTTCGCCTGTTTGCATTAGGATTTTACCACTGACTTCAGTGAAAAAAGGTTTGAGTTCAGTATTTTGCTGTGTCGAAAAATTCTGGAGATATTTTCCTTAGATGGAGTAACTGTGAGCTAATCTAATTTGTGGGAAAGACAGATGTTTCTGTGGTTGTCCAGAAGATGTCGAGATTTGGCACCCTCTTACTGCTACATTTTTTGTGTTTTTGTGTGCATTTTTAGGCTTGACTGGCTATGCAGGCTGTTTGCACAGGGGGTAGAGCATGGGGAAGCTCTCCCTTTCTGCAGAACAGCACATGCCCCCAAAGGCACCAAGTTCCTCCTCCTGCTCTCCTTCTGTTTTGTGTTTGTTCTGCTAATTTTAATGTTATAAACAAGAGGGGAAAACTAAACCCAGAGGTCAATTATGCTCTCTGAATCCATCTGTCCAATTAGGAAAAAAAGTAGAGATTGTTCATCTAGTTTAGAATATGGGATGCCTATTGAACTTTGTGAAGGCTGCATTTTCTTACAAAAATCACACAGGCTGAAAACCTATATCCACTAGCTGCTTTCTGAATGATATCAAGATAGAAAACAAGGCAGTGAGAGGTAGGGGCCAGGAAGTGCCTTCCTCCCCTCCAAAAACAGCTGTGCTGGCTTGCACACAGTCAGATAAATACGTTAGGTACAGAACAGCAGCCATGGACCTCAACTGCTGCTTCCGAGATCAGCCACCTAACACAGCTTGCTAACAGGAAGAATGATGATGGATCAGAGTTGATTCTACCCAAAGGGAGAAGGAGAAAGGAGAAGAGGAAAAAAATTGTACTGATAGACATCATAATTGGAAGGCCAGACAAGCACCTCTCAGGTCTGATACAGAAAAAAAGGTGATCCTGCCTATGAGTCAGGGTTTGGCTTAGGTGGTCTCAGAAAGTTAATTGTCACCTGGGAAGTGCATTGCTCAGATAAAAACTTCTAATGAGTTCTGGAAATGTGAAATGCACTTAGCTTCCTGGTTTTACCTTAGTAAGTGTGCTCCCAGATGTTCATAGGAGCTGAGGAGCAAATAGCAAAGATCACAGATCCACAGAATGGTTTGGGTTGGAGGGGACCTTAAAGATCATCTAGTTTCAATCCCCCTGTCATGTTCAGGGACACCTGCCACTAGACCAAGTTGCTCAAAGCCCCATCCAACCTGGCCTTGAACACTTCCAGGGATGGGGCATCCACCACTTCTCTGAACAACCTGTTCCAGTGCTTCGGCACTCTCACGATAAAGATTTTTTTCCTAGTATGTAAGTATTATATATCTAGATCTCTGTATCTAGTATCTAATATCTAATGCTAAAAAGCATTTAAACTGTCTCTGTCCTGTGTGGCAGGTTGACAGACAGTTAGAATTGTAATTAATTTAACAAAGATATATATGAAGCATAAGCAACCATTTTAAAATGGTACTTTATCCTTAAAAGTACATATGCTAAAAGCTATTCCTCCCCACAGAACACCAGCACCAGAGCAGATACACTCAGTGAAAAGTAAAAACCCTGAAATTAGGTTAAATTCAAACAAAAGGGAATGATTTCTTTCCCACACCTGAGGAGACCTGTATAGAAATACCATTGCTGAGGTATTCCCTTGTGGGACTTGCTATGAATCAGTGCCCAGGATTACACTGCACCTAAGTGCCTCCTTTTGCAGAGGTGCTCATAAAAGAGAGGAAAAGACAACAACCACAACCAAGGGAAACGAGAAACTCTTTGCTGTAAAGCCTTCTGGCTTTTCCAACTGGTCTAATAAAACTTGCCCTCCAGTTTTCTCTCCCAATATAAGTAAGAAGTTTTTATGAACTCGAGTTAAGGTATTTGGGAATTTGGCAATGTCTGCAGAAACCAGCCTGCTGATGAGGAAAAGAAAGCTAAATCAGTCTGCTTTTGCCCTGAGCACAGGGCTGGATAAATATTCTTTTTCTAACAATGATTTTATTTTTGTCTCCTCAGGCAAGTTATTTAAAACATCAACAGACATGAGTCCAAACTCATCATAAGAATAGCTGAAAGCAAACCAGTCTTTATTTATACTGGTTTGAGATTAACAACTTTCAAAATGTAGATTGCAGGTAGCACAGCAGAGCTCCAAAATTATCCTAACCTAAGCCAAAGTCAGGCTGCAGCAAGAAAAAAAGGTAGAAATGGTTCACCTATGTACTCACTGGTCTTAAACTTTTCTTCCAGCCCTGGTGATTAATGCATATCACTCATAAGAAGATTTTGCATCTCCTTAGTATGCCTATCTGAAAGCAAAGCCAACTGTGTCTTCTTTACTACTCCCTGCAAAAGAAAAGAAAAATGCATAGAATGAGAATTTAAAATTTCTAAAAGCCTTCACAAAATTACTCTCTTTACAGTGATCACTTAAATTGTAGGCACTTTCCACTTTAAAATGTAAAAACAGTTTTCAAGTATTTGGGAAATGAAGCAGGGGAAGACCAATATGGGAATAAAGCTTTAAAAACCAATACACAACTTCTAGCTATTTACATGGCTATATTGATATTCTCCTCAGTGCTTCTTTAATCAACATGAACAAAATAAGCATGGTGCTTTGTCCTATCACCTTAGTTAAGTAGGTCAAGACAACAAACAAAAATTGAAGTTTTTTCTTCAAGATACATGCTTTAAAATATGTTTAAGAGCAACCAGGTTATCATATGTGCCTGAGGAAATGTTTGACGCTGACAGAAGCATGGGTGGAATGTGTCCCCCTTGCTCTTCTTGAACCAATGGACTTGGATCAAGATAGAAAAGTTTTCTAACTCCTTCTGCCTGTGCTGGCAGTAATGTTCCCTAGGAACCCATCCTGCTGGCTCAGCATTCCAAAGACAACATCCAGTTAAACCCAAAACCTTTCCTGCTTTCAGTTCTCTATCCACATTGAAAACAAACTGGATTGTCAGTGAAGCTGGTTTTATTCTGCATAGGCATTACCCCACTGTAAAAGCTTCCAGCTGGGTCTGCAAGGTGCTTCACTAACCATTTTGCATTGCATTGATATCAAAATCTGGATTCATGGAGGTCATTCCAATGATAAAATACATTAAAAAGGTAAATAAAAGGTGATTAATTTACATTTCACAGATGAGAGCAGAATTCTTCTACTAGAAAGATGATGTAGCTATTGGCTATCTACTTTACAAAAATTTTTTATAAGACTTCATATTAATTATCAGTATAAAATCAATGTTCAATAGTAATAAATTTCCTGCATGGAAGCTAAATTGCATAAGAGAAAAGCCAGCAGGCAACTAACTCAAAGCATGCCACAGGGTACATTAGAAATAGGTTGAAACCAAACCTTTTTATGCCTTTGAGAAATCCTGCTGCCTGCAAAGGGACAGGTCACACACCTCTTGCTGGGCTGCTCTCTAGCAAGAGCACCTCAATGCCAGGATACAGCATCAGGGATAAACCAGGTGTTTGGTCACTACCCATGATCAGGCCAAATCTTCATAATTAATTGACTCATTAAGGAACTGTAGAGTAGAACACACCTGAAAAACAGGATGTCATCTGGAGGGATCTGGGCAAGTTTAAGTGGGTTGAGGGGAATCTTATGTGGTTTAACAATTCCAAGTGCAGGATGCTGTTTCTGGCTTGAGGCAGCGCCAGGTATCAGCACAGTTTGGGGGATGAACAGACAGAGAGCTGCCCTGCCGGGAAGGACTTGGGGATGCTGGTGGGTGAGAGGCTGGACATGACCCAGCAATGTGCACTCACAGCCCAGAAATCCAGTTGTATCCTGGGCTGTCTCAAAAGCAGCGTGGCCAGCAGGGTGAGGGAGGGGATTCCTTCCTTCTGTCTGCTCTGGTGAGACCCCACCTGGAGAGCTGCATCCAGCTCTGGGATCCTCAGCACAAAAAGGACATCAATCTGTTTGAGTAAGTCCAGAGCAGGCCACCAAGCTGATTCAAGGGAGGGAGAGCCTCTCCTATGAGAAAAAAAGCTGAGAGAATTGGGATTGTTCAGCCTAGAGAAGAGATATCTTAGGGATAACCTGATTTTGGCCTACCAGTACCTCAAGGGAGCCTACAAGGCAAAAAAAGAGAGACCTCTTACAGTGATCCTTAGTGACAGGACAAGGGAGAATGGCTTCAATATGAAAGAGTAGGTTTAGGTTAAGTATTAGGAAAAAATTCTTCCCTGTGAGGATGGTGAGGCACTGGAAAAGCTTGCCCAGAGAAGCTTTGGATGGACCATCCTTGGATGTGTTCAAGGCCAGGTTGGATGGGGCTTTGAGCAACCTGGTTTCATGGAAGGTGTGCCTGGTCATGGCAGGGAAGTTAGAATTAGCCAATCTTTAACATAGACCATATTATGATTCTGCGACTTTTTAATCAGTACTTCAGTATATGAACCATGTCACACAATGATTTGAGTAATGGACAAGCTGATATTTAGTAATGGTAGTAAGAGTTTTTAAAGAAGAAAAACACTTACTTAATCTCTCTGGGTTTAGGTGACTGCCTTCCTCTGGAAGAGGAGGTTCAGTTCAGAGAAGGTGGTAACCTGATGTCTCTCTGTGCTCCTTCCAGCAGCATTACTTATAGGCCAAGATCAGATTTAGAATGATTTAGACTGTGTTTTCTTCATGTGTTTTCTCTCCTAATGATACAAAAAACTTCTGGTGAAGTTTCCAAAGTCTCTTAATGTGAGTTTTGGGAATTGTGCAGCCCTACCCACAAAGTGCCTCTTCTACTAGGAAAGTTTTATTACATGAGTATTGTTCTTGGGATTATAAATAGCAGCAAGTTGAAAAAGGTTGGTTTTGTCACAGTATTTGTAGATCAAGTGTGCAGCTCTGTAAAACTGGATGATTTATTTTAATGGAAAAATATTTGCTGGAAATTGGAAAGCAATAGAACTGCTATTCCTCCACTTCTACTAGTCTAAATGTTGCCATCATGATGGGGTGAGCAGTGCTGCAGTGTGGTGTATTGCTGGAAGACAGGATAACATCGCCCCCAAGTTCTGGTAGAAAGTTACAAGGATTTGGGATGCACAGGCTTCAGAGCTGCAGAAAAGCAGCAGACTGACCCTTGAGCTCTGCACAGACAAAATCATATAGTCCCATAGGAGATTTCAAGAATTCAAGTATTGTTTCCGTTCCAACTCTCAGCCTCCAAAATGCCAATTTTCTCCACATAGGCAAAGCAAAGCTCAGGAGCAATTTGGTGGTAGCTCCAGAGGCATGGAATAGGGATGCCTGAGCCACTGGCTCTGCCAGCACAGGGCTCCCATGATGGGCTGGGTGGAACTGTCCACCCTCCACAGCCACTGCAGCTCACCAGAAATAGCACAACTGTTTCCCCTGAGTGTTACCTCTTCTACCAGACCCACTACAACAAAACTCTGGCTTGTCTTGCCTGACATACTGCAGTGTGTCCAAAGCACTAGATGGTCCTGCTGCTTTGTCTTTTGGCAGAATGAAGATGCCAGTCAATCACAAGGTTGTGTGTGTTGGAGAGACAGAGGAGCAGGGGGTTGGACACGCGGGGGGCAGGGTCATCTGAGGGGTGTGCAGCTGTTCCTCTGACAGCCTCCGCAGTGCACACCTATCTCCAGCTTTGCTTCCCTCAAGGCATCCAGACTAGCTGGGAAATCCTATTTCTGTGGCTGTGCAGCACAGCATGCTGTGTAGGATAGTCCATCATCCCTCTCAGTAACAACAGCATCCCATGCTGTGTACAGGCTCCTAAAATGTCATCAACACCACCCTAACCAAACTGAGACATGCTGAAGTACTTCAAAGTGAGCATTTTGCACTCTTTTGTACAAGTGCTTATACAATGCATGCTCTGGGAAACACTAGTTGGACTTCGGTACCACCATTGTGCTTTAAAGGCAGCAATTTTGTACTAGATGTGTAATTCAATCATTGTTTTGAAGGGTAAATTTATAATCTCCATGTAACTGAAACTTTAGAGGTTTCTGTCACCTAAGAACATAATGCACAGTCTTATTAGAAAATTAAGAAAAAACTAAATTTAAGAAACACTCTTTATTCCTTCATCATCCTTGCCATCAGAAAAGATAAATAAGCACTTTTGGAACTATCCTAAGGAGCCCTCCTTTAGCACACAACTTTACAAAGGCTGAGTGCCCCCAATTAGGTGCCAAGGTCACATCCTTGGCCCTGACAGGGCCTATCACACACCTGCAATTTCTCCTTAAATTAATCCATATCCACTTGCAGGTGTTAACAATTTTGAAGAGAATCTAAACACTCAGCATCTCACAATTTTCTGTTTTGTCAGTAATTTGAGTCTGTACCTTTGAAGTTACTGCTATAATTTCAAGAATGGTTGACTAAACTATTCCCTCTAAAGATTGCTTTCATTTCACCAGTATTTAATGATTTATTTTCTCTAATTGCTTATGGGTTGGGTTGCTTATGGTTGCCTTGGGTGAAAGTAATTTTTGGTGCTTATCCTTTTATAAGCATTTTCTTTTCTAGAAGTTGTTTTGTAGTTTGATACAGCCCTCACACCACAGTGGGTGGTTGCATTTTGGAAACCCCAGTGACACTTGTGAAATATTGTCATGCAAATGCCAAAAAAAAAAAGAAAAAAAGGAAGAATTATTAATTTCCTTTATGTACTAATTTGATTGGTTTTTACTGAATTAATATGCCATTTTGGTTGAGTACCACGCTCTTTCTCTTTCATTTATGTGCAAAGAAAACACATTTCAAATAGCATAACTTCCTTTTAAAACCTATTTCATACAGCTTAGAGTTTTCAAGGGTCAATGTGATGTTTTGTGGTCCCTAACTTCCCCGTTTTGGTTGCCACGCTATTTTTTGTTTCCATCCAGATTTGCAGAGGGCTGGGGAACATTCCTCCAAAAGCATCTTTCTGCTCGTTGTTCTCGCCCCCGCCGCGGCGGTGGTGCTGTGAGCAGGGGAAGGGAAGGCAGCTGCTGCTGCGGGAGTGCCGGGGACCGCATGGCCGGGCTGGCCGGGGTGTCAAGGGACGTGGGGTTTTGAGATGTGCTTTTGCAGCCGTCTCACTGCAAACCCCTCGGGACGTCCTCGTTTTCCACTTAAAATGCAAAAAGAACTCTCCCGACGGGGGATCTCCTGCTTAGCTCCATCCGTCCACCGCACCGTGCGCTCGCACTAAGTGGAGAGGCGGCTGAGAGCGGGGAAGCGCTCGTTTGCCTCCGGGCTTCCTCCCGTGGAGTTTTTCCAGCGGAGTTAAGAGTTGCCGGGAAGCCGGGAAGGTCTCCCGTCCACCGCTCTCCTTCGGGTTCCCCGGTCAGGAGGGGGGTTTCGGGCGGCTAACGCGAACTCGGAGCATCTCGGCGCTCACCCCCGCGGCGAGCGCCCGGCAGGTGCTCCCGGCGCGGCGGGGTCCGGCGGCCCCGACGGGCGGCGCGGGGGAGCCGGGGCGGCCGCAGCGCCGGGCCGGGGCGGGAGCGAACAAAGCGCTGCCGAGGGCGTGCTGCCCCGACGGGGCCGGCGCGGTGCCACCCGCAGCGGGGGCGGGGTGACCGGGGCACCCGGCCCCCCTTCCCCACACACACACACGCACGCACAGACACACAGACACAGACGCACATCCCCCGCACACGCACACCGCGCCCGGGCACACGCCGAGACGCACAGGCGGCCGCTGGTGCGCGGCGAGAGGATGCGGCGGCTGCGCCCCTGGGCGCTGGTGCTGGGCGGGCTCCTGTGTGCCTGGGCCGGGGCCGGGGCCGGGGCGGCAATGCGGAGCTACCCGCACAGCGCGGTGCTGGACGGCGCGGGCGCCTACCGCCTGCGCTGGGGCCGCCGCGGCAGCGCCCTCGCCCTCCGCCTGGAGGTGCGCACCCGCGGCTACGTGGGCTTCGGGCTCTCGGCCAGCGGCAGCATGGCCTCAGCCGACATCGTGGTGGGGGGCGTGGAGAGGGGCCAGCCCTACCTGCAGGTAAGGCCCTGCTCCTTCCCCTCGACCGCCGAGCCGGGTCCTCCTCGTCCGCCCACCTTCCCCGCGCTGTCCTTCTGTCGGGACGCCCTCCTTTCCCTGCCTCACGTTTCTTCTGCAGCTTTCTTGCCCTGCATCCCCGTACCTCTTTACTTTTTCCCTCCACCCTTCGGGTTACCCCTATTCTTCTGCGTTCCTTTCCCCTGGAGGAGATTCTTCTTTTCTATCCTCTCCTTGCCAACCTTCTCTCTAAACTTCTACATAGACTTCGTTAGAGGCGTCAGATTTCTTTGCTCTTTATCCAGAAGATGTGACAGTCCTATTCTCTCTCCTTTGGGCACTCTCTCCTGCCTGCCCGCTGAGCCTAAACCCGTTGAGGAAAGGGATGGGAGGGCATAATCTCTCCCAGGGAGGTGTGGCACCTTTCCCCTCCTCGCCCTGCCGACAGCTGATGGAGCTTGGCCGTCCTGCTGCCGCCTGAGCCTGCTCTTTCTAATCCCGGCGGCATGAGGGCAACATCCCGCCAGCTTCCAAGCCTGTTGACGTCCCCTTCTGCTGCACACAGCCGGTGCTGCTCTTGTTCTTGGTGTTCCTCCTCTCCTCACCTGAAAGTGTTTTAACCCAGATATTGGAAAGGACTTACATAGTAACCACTGGGAGGACTCCTGGTACATGTCCTTGGTCTGGTGGAGCAACCTCAGAGGTTGCCCGGGTCTATTTGGCATAATTTTCTTGGGATGTTTCTGTAGTAGTCTAGATATTGTCAGGGCTACATCTGGGAACAGGAGTGTGGAACAGAGGCCTTGCTGGTGCTTACAGCAAGTCATCCTCTCCCAGAGGCACTCGTGGCTGGTGGAGTAGGAGCCATGAGAGGGGAGGGTGCCCACACCTTTAGCCCCTCTCATCAACCTGAGATCCAGCTGGCAGGAGGTGCTCTGGGACGGGGGGAGCAGGGACAGCTTGTCTCACTGGTGACCGAAAGGGCAATCAGGCCTGGAATGACATGTTGTCACCCCCAGGTGCTTGAATAATAACTCAGAGATGCAGTTTAAGAGCAGAGTGGTTGTTAGAGTATGGTCTAGGAGAAGTCATCCGTCTTCATTATGTTAGAGCTAGTTGATCTTTGAAGCTGCTGCTTAAATTTTAAGAGGTTTTCCCCTAAGAATATGGATTTTCAATTTTCAGTGAATAACAATTCACTATAAGAAAACAAAATGCATAATATGATCTCCCTACTATTTGTCAAGGTTTTATAAAATCAAAAATTTTCCAGAAAAATCGATCTTTTAGTATTAATGTTTTCCTTTAAAATTTTCTTTTGCTTTTTCTTTCCTCCATTCATTTGCTGTATGAAGTTTAGGCAAATATTTGTCTTCGTTAAGTGCGGACCAGTGATTTTCAGAATATTGCTTTCTCCATATTTCAAAATGAAGATAATTTTTCTTGAAGCATAAATAAAAGACTAATAATAGTAAAAAAACCCACTCTAGGCTGCTCATTCAGCAGTGAGCTCTTCACTCACAGAATGAAAGGCTTTCTGAAAAGCTTTGCAATTCAGAAGACACACCTATTAACCATTAAAAGAAACCCCAGCTTTTTTTTTCTGGTTAGTTCACAGATCCTGTTAGGGTAAAAAAAGTCTTTTTGAGAGGCATCCAAATCTAGTGTAAAGACATCCAATGGTGGATGATCCATCACTTCCCTTGATAGTTTGTGTCAATAAGAAGTCTCTGCTGTTCCTGATTGCCAGGATTAGTTTGTCTTGGCTTAGCTTTCAGCTATGTATTTTCTCTACAATATTAAAAGCTCTACTCCCCCTGCATACCGCCTTCATAAAGTTATTTATATGCTGCAATCGAGACAATCAAGTCACTGCTCCATTTTCTTTTTTGTTAAATAAATAGATTGAACTCTTTAGCGTCACAGGACGTTTTCCCCACCACTTGAAGCACTTTTGCGGCTCTTTCAGCACCCTTCACAGATTTTCAACATCCTTAAAAATGGCCCCATGCTAACTCTGTTCTTCCACAGGTTTTGTTCACCAACATTCTGTTACAATTAGAAAAAGACTGTAGCAAATGCCTGCCCATAGAAGCCTACTGGTATTTTTCCTGAAACACTAATTTAGCACATAAATTGTTATGCTAAGAGCTATGAGTTATTTTGTTGCGCTTTTGAGTAGGTAAGAAATATTTTTGGTACTCTTTCTTGCCACTTGAGGCTTGCTCCATCCCCATTCCTTTTTCAATTCTAGGTAGCATGGTTTCTTTCAAAACTGAACCGAGGTTTTTTAAAAGTTGCTCAGTTAAAATTTTTCCATACTTGCACCAACAAGGAATAGCCAGAAACAAAGATGATAAACAAAATTTGTCCACAGGCTTTTTCTGGTCAGGCAGCAGGGATTGCTAGAAAATGAACAAATTGTTCTAGGATGTTGTTTCAATAATATCCAATTCTTCCCTTTACTAGACAAATAAATACAGTTAATATTTTAAAAATACATTCTGTGTTAGGTGTATACCATCATAATTTAGATTATTTACTACTGAAAAAGATTTTTTCATAGATAGCACCCTTGAAAGTATGTGGTTTTATGCCTAGCTGAACTCCATGAAATATGCACACCACATAATGAATGAACTTACTTTTCTTTTTGGTTTTAGAAATATGTTTTTATTCCATGACCATCCGTTGGAAAATGTGCATGGTGGTCTAAACTCTTAGAGAGGTCATTTTTTGGTTTCTTTGAAAGATTTGAGATGCTTGTTAGTGGCCTGGCATTCAGATGTTCTGAAACACCTTTATAGCCTTTCAAGTGGGCATTGAAATTGCTAGTCCTTTGGGTCAGTTTTGCCTTTTTCGCCCCCCCAAATTTTCTCACCTTCTTTAAAAATAGAAAGTGTTCTCAGAGGTAAGAGTTCTCTTCTGGGAATAAGCATGTAAATATAGTTAGACTACAGCTGCCAGTTAGAGTAAAAGTACATAATCCTGGCTGTGGAAGATCCATGTATTGGGGTAGAGCAAAACTGCCAAATCGTTTTCAGAGAAAAGAGAAAAAATGTTTCTTCTGGCATTTATTCCTCATCCTCTCAGAGCAAGTAAATGCTATTCCTATCATCAGCAGGCAGTGTTTGCCTTGAAAAATCCTGGTGACTCAAAGTCCTGGATATCCTGGGCTGGATTTTACTTTCTTAGTTTTCAGTGTTTCCTGAACTTGGATGCACTGAGCTGTTTGTTTTGGTTTGCTTTTATGTGCTGGAGCTGTATTTAATCTGAAAGAGTGTCTGACATAAGGAAAGGCTAAAACAATTTGGAAGCCTATGGCTCAGTTTTGTCTAAATATATCAGGATGGAAAGTGTTATGATGTCATGAAAGAAGAGTAAGTTTTTTGAAGAGCATTGGAATGATTAAGGAATGTCTCAGTTAGGACATTAACAGTCCTAACTCAGAAATTTGATACTTGAAATGGGAACCTAAACATATTTTGGGAGGACACAGAATGGATATGTGTATATATACATGCATGACTTAGTGCTTTGTCATGAGGGAGGCACCTCCACCGAGCAGAAGGAGAAAAAGGAGATCAGTGAACAGACTGAGAGCCTGTGGTGTCAGAGCAGCAGATTGTGTGATGTTTGGCTAAGCATGTTTGAGAACAAGAAGATACCAATGGGGGTCGGTATTGGAAAGCTGGGAGCTGCCTTTGTCTCTATAGGGAGGACTTGGACTTAGGAGAGTTCATTCTTAGCAAACTGTTACCTTGAAATATTTCCATGGTCATTTGCAGCATGTGTTACTCTTAACCATATTCTTAGATTTTGCATCTAGTTTTCTTCATTCTTTTTCTTCTTTCTTCTTTTTTTTCTTTTTTTTTTTTTTTTTTTTTTTTTTTTTTTTTTTTTTTTTTTTTTTTTTTTTTTTTTTTTTTTTTTTTTTTTTTTTCTTATGCATCTCTTTTGTGCTTATGAATTGACACAGCATGCATTTTCTTGCTAGACCCATGCCTTTTCCTTGGTCTCCACCCCTGTCTGGAATTGTGCATCCCCACCCACAGCACGTAGCTGCTGAGAGCCCCATTTTGGGGAGAGTAATCCTCCTTGATGAATGCCTATTTTGTGCAAGTTATACAAGAGGGTTGCATTGTTAGAATCTTCTGTTGAACTTGCACAAAAATAGTCCCTACTCAGGGTGAATAGGGACTGTATGTCACTAAAAAGTACTTTATTATTCATTAGAGCCTTGCTTGTTAACTGTCACCCAAACTAAAGAATATCTGTTATCAAATGTATCCCATAGAGTTAGCTTAATTGCTCACAGGGAAGTACTTGGGAGAGATTTTAAAGGACAGAAAACAGTGAGCATTTTCAGTACTTAACGATATGCCGCTTTTAAGTGCACTCATGCCAACAGCAACAAAAGAAGTGTTTAGAAAACAACTTGAAAGGCACCAAGAGAGAGATGCGAAGCGAGTGCCACACTGACATATCTCAGTCGGTGTTTTGTTGGAGGTATTTCATGCCTTTGGGCACTGGGGCAGAATCTCCAGATGACTAATGTCTCCCTCTTGGCTTCAGTGTGGGGCATAAAGAGACACTCCAGTGTACAACTCCACTGGCTGGGTACTTTGTAGTTCCCTTTGAGAGGTACTATAGTTAGGACAAGGAAGCAACAGTTGGTGAACAAAAGATGAGAAGAATTCTGAAGCTTGTAATTTGCAGGCCTTCAGGGGACTGTTTTAAAGTGTTTGGTTGGGATTTTTTTTTTTTTTTTCTTTGTAATATTTTTTGTTCTCCTTTGGATTTTGGAAGCACCAAGAAATGAAATTTTCCACATATCCCCAGAAATATGGAATTTCAGCAATTACGAGTGATGCAAAACTTAAAATAATGGGGCGGATGATTTAATTCCCAATATAAACAAGTACCACAGAAGTTCTAGGAAAAGGAAGAAAGGAGATTTTCTAAGGCAGATCCACAAATTTGGGGAACAAGTATCCCTAATTGTTGTGCTTGAAAATCCCCTAAGTGTTTTTAATCTTCCTCATAATTGAAGTAATTAAAATAATTAAACCCAGAAAAATTTTACTGGATAAATGTGGCTCCTCTGTAAGGAATGTTCCTTGCAATAAAGTGCAGTTCTAAGATTGTATCGTGCAGTATCTCCTCCTTACTGATTTTCTTTCCCTTAAAACACTTTGCTACATGTTTTGTCTAGTCTCTTTCTGTTAGGACAGCCTTTATTCTAGTTTCACATTTTCTGATATAACTGGAGTATAAACTCTTAAATTAACATTTATTCTTGATGTAAAGACTTGCATAGGGCTCTGGGACTCTACTGCAATGTCAAATTACCCACATCAATATGTAATGTCATGGTCCTGGGGTGACTTTATGATGCTGAATTGTATCCCCATTCATCTGTTTAGCCCAGAAATAAGTTTTCCATCTTTAAGACTAGATCT